CACACCTCTTTCGTAAGGTTACTTACCGTAGGTTACGCGAGTTTTTGGATTGTGAAGCGACTGACTCGCCGTATTTCTTACTCAACACCAGAAACCTCTTCCAAATTATACAAATTATACACTTTCCGAAAAAACAATTCATTGCCTCAAGAAGATGTGGATGTGTCTTAACAGGCAATGCAAAAATAATTAATTTCGTTGAATATTGCAAATTTGTGTATATAAATTTAGTTTTTAAAAATTTCAAATACGCTGTAATAAATTTTTTATTAATTCAAAATTTATACCGATTTAATAAGTTGAAAAGCATAACACTGTATATATCAGGAAATCATATGTTTTCTGCGTTCACGGTGAACATATATTTTTTTATTTTATGTTCACTTATGAATATAAATAATTTTCATCGAATTACGTGTAATAATTGTAATAATGTGATTATTTTTTATTAATGTGAGCATGAAAAAAAAAAGTAAGTTCACAAAAATTGCCATATTGTCTTTTGAATTTCCAGCACTGATATATATATATATATAAAGAGTATTATCGCTCACAAATAATCATTCCTAAATGATTTTTACGCCAAGCAAATTCCGACATATAAACTCTCAATTCCTAGTTCGTGAATATACAAAATAACGTAAACTCAATTTTCAAACTTTAAGTGATATAACTCAAATTAAAGCTTTAGAGCCGAAATTTCGTTTAACGTTACCTATAAAAAGTTTCACCACTCGAAGTGACGCAAACTCAGTGAAAAAAAGTAGCTCACTTACATTTAAGTTATTTAAATAGTGAATTCAGATTTTCGGTTTATCCCAAATTTAAAAAGTAAAAATAAATTATAATAATTCGGTTAATCATAAAAAATCATCCAATTTTAGACCCTTATACCCTTGAATACAATTATGAACATGAGATAATAGTTGAAAAGGATGAACACAAGGCATTCATTTATTACCAAAAGTCTGCTAACATGGGTAATGTTAAGGAATGACTTATAGGCGACGCGACTAACCGCTAGCATAATTTTTCGTGGTTCCAAACCCTATTAGAATACTGTATTATAACATATAGTATAATACATAACAAATATAAAAGGTTATGTCGCAAATAGACATGTTAAAGATCAAAATTTTTTAATATATAAAGCTGCTTTGAGGGTTCAGCCAAAAATTATATACTTATAATAAACGATTGACATAATATTTATAAATGCAACGATTAATATCATGAAATTTTTTTGTCGGATAAAATGGTTGGCTGGCATGTGCCGCATGATCCAATATCAAGTCATTATTAGATATATAACTGAGTTTTAATCGAGATTGTTGTGCTTATGTAATAACGTACAAAAAATAACAAGAAGAAAAAAATCCTTGATCATAAGAGTTTGCACGATAATTAAAAAGGTTGGTCGTTGTAAAATTTTTTTGATGTAAAATATTGAACCTGTCACCTTAATAACAAGTTCTATAAGAATTGGTCACATTATAAGAGACAGATGAAACATTTGATCAAAGTATGAAAAAAAATTTTTTATTTATATACATGCAATTGTTTTTCTATGCATTAAGCAGTATTTTTAAAAAATTGTTAAATTATTCAAATGTAGCATGTTTTTCATCACTTTCTCTAAACTTAGGTTTAAGATTTCCCATAAATATAGCTAAAATAAACATTAATACACAATAAAGTATTATAAAATAAAAAACGAATTGAAATGCTAATACATAAGCGTGAATAACTGAAGGCTGTATTTCAGCTGGTAATAATCTTATAGTATATACAGATTTTGCTGCAAAAGTTGGAGGTAAAGTTAATGTACTTAATGCTTGTGAAAGCTTATTATTAAATATTGTTCCGGTTATTGTAGTTCCAAAGACAGCTCCAACTAAAGATAAAAATATAGATAATGAATTAGTAAAATAATTTTGCAGAATGAATTAGTAAAATAATTTTGCAGGAAATAAATAAATACTATATATATTTATATATATATATATGAATACTTACTACTTCTAAAAAATAATGCCAAAGTAGTAACAGAAGCTATATCCTTGCGCTCAACCAATTCTTGAACGCATAATGTAATAGATTGGATACTTGCACCAATTCCAGCACCACCAATTACCAAATACCCTATAAATTCACCATATCCGGTGTTTTCATTCCACGTAGTGATTAAACCAGCACCGGTCATTATTAATGTTGCAGCAACTAAAGTTACACATCGATACGACACTTTATCTGTTTGAGAGAAAAATAGACCAGTTAGATATGAGAATGCTGTGATGCCAATAACATAGGGCATGTAATCTAATCCGGCTTGTGTTGCTATTTAAAAAGAAACATTTAAAATGTTAAATTTTATTTGATATTTAGTAAAGGAATATGGGCTTTGATTTATAAAGAGACTTGCCTGATTTTCCTTTTACAACTTGAAAATAAAGAGGAATATAAAAATTAAAACTATAGAACGCTACTCCTTGGAAAAAGTATGTGAAGAAACTTGCAGTTACATTAAGAATTTTAAATAAATGTGCTATAAAAAAATAATTATAATAGATTAGTTATTAAATAATATCACCTGGCAATAGAGACAGGACTTGTGTCAGCTCGTATTTTAAAAAACATACATAGTCTTGACTCGAGTTAATTCGAGTTAATATGAGCTAAGACTATGTTTTTTTGAGCTACGAGTTGGCTCGATTCCAGTCTCAACTGAATAACGACAAATCAAGCTATAAGTACTCACGTGGAGCAACAGGCTCATTAACGACGTAGCTTTCAACAAGACCAAATATTATATATCCAACTGCGCCGGCACAAAAAAGCCCTATGATCACAGGACTATCCCATGCATAAGTACTACCTCCCCAATTAAGTGGTAATAAGAGACAAATAGTCGATGTAGTCATTATGATTATGCCAAGGAAATCAATTCTATAAAATTTTTCGATTACTGAACCAGTTGGCCTTTGCATGTGAAGAAAAACAATTGCACTGATTACTGCTATTGCACCTAGAGGAAGATTAATGAAGAAGCACCATCTATTTTGGAAAATAAATTTTATGATGTGTTAGTTTAATAATGATTTACATCAATAAGACTTTTGACTCAGGTTTCACACTGTAATATAAATTTTTACACACCTCCAACTAAGATGATCAGTAAAAGCACCACCCATGAGCGGTCCAGCCACGGAAGCAACTCCAAAGCACACGGCAATAATACTTTGATATTTTCCCCGATCTTTAGCGCTGACAATGTCAGCAATAATAATCAAAGAAAGTCTATTAAAAAAAAAAATTTTTTTAGCATGTATAAAAATTTATCCAGTATAAATTAAAAAAATCAATGTTCGACAAAATACTGTACGTACCCAAAGATACCACCAGCTCCAACACCAGCGATTGCACGGTATATTATCAATGAAACCTAAATATAAGAATTGTTAATGTTACATGTATTTTAAGAAATTTGAAAGCAAAAAAAAGATAATTACCATGTTGTTAGCAATACCACATAATAAACTGCCCAATTCAAAAATAGAAATTGCAAATAAGAATGTTGCTTTACGACCAAAAATATCAGATAATTTTCCATAGATTGGTTGAAATGAAGTCTGTGTCGATAACGTACGTGATTCACTTGAGTCACACATGATATATAATTCAAACGGAGAGACAAATTTATATATTAAAATCTTGTAATTACCAATGTGAGTAGATAAGAAGTTGCGACCCATGCCATTTGATCCAACCCATTAAAATCGGAAACTATACTAGGTAAAGCGGTAGCAATGATTGTTTGATCTAATGCGGCTAAAAATATAGCGCAAGCCAAACTATTATAAATAAAAAACTAAATTAATATAGCTAGCCGATAGATAGCCTGAACATGTGGGAAAACTTTAAGGAATTAATAACTACGAACCCAAAAGTAACCAAAAATAATGCAACTCCATGTAATAAGCCATCATTTTTTGTAGATATTATGCTTTTATTTGTGTCTTCTATTAACGTCGGTTGAGTTTCAAGGTCTAATTCAGTATGTGGGGCGGATTGATCGGATTGATTTTGTAACATTATTATTATTATTATTATTATTATTATTATTATTGCTCTTGTTAATTATTAATAATTATTATTGATTTTTATTATTGTAATATTACTTTTATATTACTTGTTTTACTCAAGGATTAATTGAATGAAAAAAGGAATTTAAGTTAAAAATAAGCTAAAGAAAACTATATCGCTCGATAACTTGGCCCTTTTTTTTTTCCTAGAAAAAAAAAAACTAGTTGCGGCATTTGAAATTTGGCAATAGTGCGTGTTATGATATACTGTAGATTAGTAGGTGATAATCATGAGTTGTAACTTTTTAGTATGAAAGAACATTCATTCAAGATCTGTTACCACGATGTTAAGGATGCCCTAACAACGAAATGTCTCGAAGCCCTTCAATATTAACTTCCGCATGCTTTTTTGTATACATTCCTCACCCGTTAACTGGGGATGTTACGGTCCTGCAAGGACATGGCCCGGGCCGGTTTTTTGGACCAGTCCAACCAGTTTTCGGTCCTAAACTGAGGACCGATCTAGCCGATCCATATCTTATAGAATGGATTTCATTGGCTAAAAAATAAAAAAAAATTGCCGATGATCGTATCTATGAGTCGGTCATTACCAATTTTTTCAATGTCATAGGATTTTATGATGATAGCTGTAGTAGTACGTACGGCTATGGTTAACAATTAGGTGGCCGGATTTGTGTTGCCGGCATTTTCTAAATTAAAGTCAGATTTTCGTATTCGTTCAACAAATAATTCATCGTTACAAGTGTAACCTGATAGTCTTGTGTTTGTCGTATTTTAATTCTATATGCTACGCCGTTTCCATTGTAGAACAATATGTAGTAATATAATTGTTGTTTGACTTTATTTAGTAGTTTATCTGGTAACCTTTTTAAGTCGATTACTCTGGGATATCGTTCCATTATTGTAGCGACTTCTGGTCGGTCCTTCTTTTCAAATATGGATAGGTATTTGTATCCTTTTAAAATTTGTTCTAGGTTGAGCACTCGTTTTTCTATCAGTTTCAACGGTGCTATTTCCTTCTGTACTTTTTGTTTTAATTTTGTTGCTCTTCGGATCTGTTTGGAGGTGACCTTTTCTTTATCTTTCATTAGGTCTTCTAGTTCTTGTTCATTCATTTCTGTCAGGTCTTCTCGTTTGAATTCTGAATCTATTTCTTCAAATATCCTAGGGTATATTTTTCTTTAGTTTGTCATTACTTTGATTTCTTTTGTGAAATTTAATCTGTTAATCATTTGTAGTACTGGGTAATCTTTTATTTGGTGAAATATATAATGTAAGTTGTATTGGATCATTGGTATTAGCGGTAATTGTTGTTCTTCAATCTGATTTAATGAGTATATTTGCTATGGTTCCAATGTTTCTAGTTCAGTATTTTTTGGTTTCTCTTTTTTTAATTTAAATATAAATAATTCTAGTGTTATCAGGTATTTTGCTTGTTCAGCTGGGCATCCCGTAGCTATCCATTCTTGGTCTGAGTAGTATGAATTTTCTTGTATTTTGATTAATTTTTCATTCTTTACTACTAGTTGCGCTTCTTCGAATATTTCTCTATGAGCTGTTGCCTCTATGGTTTCTATTGGTATTCCATAATCATTAAGTTTTCCTTTTCCTCCTATTCCGTTAAATGTTCCAAAAAACGATTTGTTGGGATTTATTCTTTGTCCTAATAAAATATAATCTGTATTTTCAATTGTTGTGAATGGTATTGCTTGAGTCATCATTCTTCTAGATAAGTTCAGAAGGTCGTTTAAAATTAATGGTCTGTCTAGATATGCCATCATTTCCGGATTTATTTGTGATATATCCAAGTTGTTCATATATTCTTGTTGTTGGTTCTTTTGGTTCCAAAGTTCCTCGAATATGTTGTAGTTCTGGTTCAGATTCTCTCCAAATTGGTTTCCAATATTCTGCATGTTGTTCATATAGTTCTTTCCAAGTATTCTTCCAATAATTGAACTTTATATTAATTCCTGTCCTTTTTTGATATATTTTTTCTATATGGTTATTATAATATTTTTGTCTTGTTTCTCTTTTCCACTCTTCTGCTTTCTTTCCCGTGTAAGGTTTGTCTTCTTTTTTGAACTTTGAGTTTAATGTACTTTGTATATAAAGTATTTCGCCCGTTATCTAATAATAGTTGGGATTTTGATAACAGTTATATATGTTTAGTAGTTTTTTATCCAATACTGTGCTTCTTAGAACTACTTCTTCTAATTCTTCTTCTAAGTCTTGTTTTAATATATTAGTTAACTTTATTGATTGCTGAATTGTCAGTTTCTTTTTTGGTCCTTTTATTAATTCGTCGGGTTTGTAATTTATTGAATAATATTCTTCAAACAGTAGTTCAGGGTTTGGGAATTTCTAATGTGTTATTCCAAAATTGTTTGTGGTATTTTTTAAATTCTTCGTAATTTTCTATTTCGTGTTCTTTTTCTCCTATACTATGATTTGTTACTTTCCAGTATAATGTTATAATAAGTGATTGTAAACTAGATTGGAGTGTTTTTCTTATCCAATTTAATCTTTTGAGTTTGGATTATGATTTAAGTATTCCGTAGTATAGTATATTATTTCTCTGGATGTATCAATTATATAAAATATGTGTTGAGTTCCTTCTTCTCTTTTGAGTATAGAGTATAAATTATGTTGTATTCTTCTTTCGTGATCAAAGAATTCGTTTTCAAATTCTTGATGGAGTTTTTCGAATGTTGTAACTGATTCTTCAATAGTAAAGTTTTTCTTTTTCTTTTTAAATCCGAATTCTTCTAATTTATAATATGTATCAAAGTATTTTCCTATATCAATCTTTTTCCACTTATTCATTCGTTTATTTCCTATATTCTTTCTTTTCTTGTATTTCTTCTATTTCTTCTTCTATTTTTAAGTTATTTATTTCATCGATTAATTCCTTAGTTCTTTTTTCAATTAGAACCTTTATCTGTTGGTCCTTGATATGCTTTCTTGCTCCTTTCTTGCTTAATTCCGCAAGTATTTCTTCGTCTTCGTAGATTATTATATTTGCTCCTTCTTCAAAGTATATATTTTGTAGAGCTTGTATGATATTATTAGAAATTGTTGATAATTTTCCTGGTAATAATGTATGTTCGTTTGTTGGTATCTTTTCAAATATTTTATCGCGTATTGATCCTAGTTGTACTTGAAGTATGTTTAATTTTCTGATATATAGGTCTTGTGTTTTTCTTGAATTATAGTTGAATATTACTCCTGTTGGTGTTTCTATTGCTGGTGCTAGGTCTTTTATTGCTTGTAGTAATATTAATATAGCTCCTATTTTATAATTATTTGTCGGTTGTAGTCTGGCTATTAGTCTTGTGCAAGATATTTCTATGTCTTGGATTATCTGAAATTTTGTTTTTTGTTCTAAGATTTCTTTTATTGGGCTAAATCTTGATAAATTGTTTGAGAAAAACTAAATATATTTAAATCGATTTCTAAAAAATTCTTGTCATCTTTCTTCGTTTCTATTGTTCATTTACTTTTAATAACAGTTCGTTTATTCTTTTGAGTTCTTTTACTATTTCCTCAGTATTTCTTTCTATTGACGGGTGAAGTACTATGTTACTTAAGTTATATCTATTTTGAATTACTTCCAATTCTTTTGTGAATTCTTCGTCTGTATATAGGAATTCTTCAAAAAAAGTCTTTTTGTAGTTTTAACAAATCTTGTTCGTATTCTCTTAGAAGAAATATATCGGTTTCTTTTAGCTGTTCATGTAAGATTATAGATGTTCTGGTAATCTCGTCAAGTATTGTGAGTAAGTTTTCTTTTTTGTTTGTGTCATGTGGTTTTAGTTGTGAGCACGAATATAAGTCCCGTACTTTTATTATTTGAGACTTTAGTTCTATATTTGTTAGGTCTAAAAATAAGTCCTGGTTAATTAATTCTTGTAGTTCTTCTTGATATTGTTTGATCACTTGATCTGCTTGTTCCTTGGTATCTTGATTATTCTCTGAAGTCATTAAATTCTATTTTTAAGAGGTTTTTCTGTTGTCCAATCTGTCTGTAGTTTATTATAGTGTTGGTTATTTTGTTTATTATATAACAGACTCCTATTACTATTACAATATCCCTTAACAATAATATGAAATGTAATGAAGCTCTGTCGTATGCTATTGCTATTATGGTTAAGTGGTTCATCCACAGAAAGGTCGTATTGATCAATGGTAGTGATAGGTCTAGTTGTTCTAGTGTTAAATTTGTTCTATTAATTCGCCAATAGATTTTAGTATGTCTGATTTAATGAACTTAGTTGTGACTATTTGTTCTATTTGTTCTTCAAATAATTCTTGATTCGTTGATAAGAATATTAATTTTGTTCTAAAGTATAACCGCTGATTTGTCGCTTTTATATCTGTTTGTTCTGATAATATCAAAGCTCTATATTCCTCTAAAGTATCTCTTATTTTGTTTTTCCAATATTGCTTTGTTCTAGGCATCCACTTCTGATAATCTAATTATCCTTTGGTTGATCAGATCATAGACGTATTCAGGTGTCACTCTTCCGTTTTTTAATTGGGATATTTCTCCTAGGGTTGTATATACTAAGTTGTGGTTATTTATCCTTGTTCTTTTTGCTGCGTTTAGTAGTAGTTGGTGTTGTATGTTGATATATGTTATAGCGTTTCTTGTTAGGCTTCCT